AACACTAGGTGGTAATATTCACTCTTACAACACTAGGTGGTAATATTCACTCTTACAACACTAGGTGGTAATATTCACTCTTACAACACTAGGTGGTAATATTCACTCTTACAACACTAGGTGGTAATATTGTTAAGAGAATATTGGCGGATTTTAAGATTTGTGTATTTTACCTACTCGTAATTCTTGTATTTATCATTCTATCTTCTTCAGTATCTTAGAGCAACGTGCACTCTACGGTAAACAACAGCCACACAACGTGCACTCTACGGTAAACAACAGCCACACAACGTGCACTCTACGGTAAACAACAGCCACACAACGTGCACTCTGCGGTAAACAACAACCACACAACGTGCACTCTACGGTAAACAACAGCCACACAACGTGCACTCTACGGTAAACAACAGCCACACAACGTGCACTCTACGGTAAACAACAGTCACACAACGTACACTCTACGGTAAACAACAGACACAACGTGCACTCTACGGTAAACAGCAGCCACACAACAACGTGCACTCTACGCCGGTAAACAGCTACACAACGTGCACTCTACGGTAAACAGCAGCCACACAACAACGTGCACTCTACGCCGGTAAACAGCTACACAACGTGCACTCTACGGTAAACAACAGCCACACAACAACGTGCACTCTACGCCGGTAAACAGCTACACAACGTGCACTCTACGGTAAACAGCTACACAACGTGCACTCTACGGTAAACAGCAGCCACATTTCACTAGGAATCATTCTCGGCTTAGAAAACGGAAAATCCATCAATACTAGAAGAATCCCTTTGTACCCTCTGTGTTCAGTGTCCTCAAACACCTCTGTGTCCAGTGTCCTCAACCACCTCTGTGTCCAGAGTCCTCAACCACCTCTGTGTCCAGAGTCCTCAACCACCTCTGTGTCCAGTGTCCTCAACCACCTCTGTGTCCAGAGTCCTCAACCACCTCTGTGTCCAGTGTCCTCAACCACCTCTGTGTCCAGTGTCCTCAACCACCTCTGTGTCCAGTGTCCTCAACAACCTCTGTGTCCAGTGTCCTCAACCATTTCTGTGTCCAGAGTCCTCAACCACCTCTGTGTCAAGTGTCCTCAACCACCTCTGTGTCCAGTGTCCTCAACCACCTCTGTGTCCAGTGTCCTCAACCACCTCTGTGTCCAGTGTCCTCAACCACCTCTGTGTCCAGTGTCCTCAACCACCTCTGTGTCCAGTGTCCTCAACCAGCTCTGTGTCCAGTGTCCTCAACCAGCTCTGTGTCCAGTGTCCTCAACCAGCTCTTGTGTCCAGTGTCCTCAACCAGCTATGTGTCCAGTGTCCTCAACCACCTCTGTGTCCAGTGCCCTCAACCAGCTCTTGTGTCCAGTGTCCTCAACCAATTCTGTGTCCAGTGTCCTCACCCACTTCTGTGTCCAGTGTCATCAACCACCTCTCTCACCTGTGTCCAGTGTCCTCAACCACCTCTGTGTCCAGTGTCCTCAACCACCTCTGTGTCCAGTGTCCTCAACCAGCTCTTGTGTCCAGTGTCCTCAACCAGCTCTGTGTCCAGTGCCTCAACCAGCTCTTGTGTCCAGTGTCCTCAACCAGCTCTGTGTCCAGTGTCCTCAACCAGCTCTTGTGTCCAGTGTCCTCAACCAGCTATGTGTCCAGTGTCCTCAACCACCTCTGTGTCCAGTGCCCTCAACCAGCTCTTGTGTCCAGTGTCCTCAACCAGCTATGTGTCCAGTGTCCTCAACCACCTCTGTGTCCAGTGTCCTCAACCACCTCTGTGTCCAGTGCCCTCAACCAGCTCTTGTGTCCAGTGTCCTCAACCAGCTATGTGTCCAGTGTCCTCAACCACCTCTGTGTCCAGTGTCCTCAACCACCTCTGTGTCCAGTGTCCTCAACCACCTCTGTGTCCAGTGTCCTCAACCACCTCTGTGTCCAGTGTCCTCAACCACCTCTGTGTCCAGTGTCCTCAACCAGCTCTTGTGTCCAGTGTCCTCAACCAGCTCTTGTGTCCAGTGTCCTCAACCAGCTCTGTGTCCAGTGTCCTCAACCAGCTCTGTGTCCAGTGTTCTCAACCACCTCTGTGACCAGTGTTCTCAACCAGCTCTGTGTCCAGTGTCCTCAACCACCTCTGTGTCCAGTGTCCTCAACCACCTCTGTGTCCAGTGTCATCAACCACCTCTCTCACCTGTGTCCAGTGTCCTCAACCACCTCTGTCCAGTGTCCTCAACCACCTCTCGTACCTCTATGTCCAATGTACTCAACCACATCCAACTCTCCCACCACCTTCACTAACACAGTCACCACTATCACCACCACTACCTCCACTAACACAGTCACCACTTACACCACCACTAACCTACTCACTAACACAGTCACTACTATCAAACCACCACTAACCTCCACTAACACAGTCCACCACTATCACCACCACTACCTTCACTAACACAGTCACTACTATCACCACCACTACCTCCACTAACACAGTCACCACTATCACCACCACTACCTTCACTAACACAGTCACCACTATCACCACCACTACCTCCACTAACACAGTCACTACTATCACCACCACTACCTCCACTAACACAGTCACCACTATCACCACCACTACCTCCACTAACACAGTCACTACTATCACCACCACTACCTCCACTAACACAGTCACCACTATCACCACCACTACCTTCACTAACACAGTCACCACTATCCACCACCACTAACCTCCACTAACACAGTCACTACTATTCACCACCACTACCTCCACTAACACAGTCACCACTATCACCACCACTACCTTCACTAACACAGTCACCACTATCACCACCACTACCTCCACTAACACAGTCACTACTATCACCACCTGCACTAACCCATTTCACCACAATCACCACCTCCACTAACACATTCACAACCTCCACTAACATTCACCACTATCACCACCTCCACTAACATTCACCACTATCCTCGCCTCCACTAACACATTCACCACGATCACCACCTTCACTAACACATTCACCACGATCACCACCTCCACTAACACATTCCCCACGATCACCACCTCCACTAACACATTCCCCACGATCACCACCTCCACTAACACATTCCCCACGATCACCACCTCCACTAACACATTCACCACGATCACCACTCCACTAACACATTCACCACGATCACCACCTCCACTAACACATTCACCACCTCCACTAACACATTCACCACTATCATCGCCTCCACTAACACATTCACCACCTCCACTAACACATTCACCACTATCATCGCCTCCACTAACACATTCACCACTATCATCGCCTATACTAACACATTCACCACCTCCACTAACACATTCACCACTATCATCGCCTCCACTAACACATTCACCACCTCCACTAACACATTCACCACTATCATCGCCTCCACTAACACATTCACCACCTCCACTAACACATTCACCACCTCCACTAACACATTCACCACCTCCCTAACACATTCACCACCTCCACTAACACATTCACCACCTCCACTAACACATTCACCACCTCCACTAACACATTCACCACCTCCACTAACACATTCACCACCTCCACTAACACATTCACCACCTCCACTAACACATTCCCCACGATCACCACCTCCACTAACACATTCACCACGATCACCACCTCCACTAACACATTCACCACGATCACCACCTCCACTAACACATTCACCACCTCCACTAACACATTCACCACTATCATCGCCTCCACTAACACATTCACCACCTCCACTAACACATTCACCACTATCATCACCTCCACTAACACATTCACCAGTATCATCACCTCCACTAACACATTCACCACTATCATCACCTCCACTAACACATTCACCAGTATCATCACCTCCACTAACACATTCACCACTATCACCACCTCCACTAACACATTCACCACTATCACCACCTCCACTAACACATTCACCAGTATCATCACCTCCACTAACACATTCACCACTATCACCACCTCCACTAACACATTCACCACTTCACCACCTCCACTAACACATTCACCAGTATCATCACCTCCACTAACACATTCACCACTATCACCACCTCCACTAACATTCACCACTATCATCACCTCCACTAACACATTCACCAGTATCATCACCTCCACTAACACATTCACCACTATCACCACCTCCACTAACACATTCACCACTATCACCACCTCCACTAACACATTCACCACTATCACCACCTCCACTAACACTATCATTAAGACACTAACTTACCCGCTCCATCTCCACGAAGTCATCGTCCAGTTTAGTTCCTTCAACTCCGTCCACTAACACTATCACCACATGCACTAACACTATCACCACTTCACTTACAATATCACCACCTCCACTAACACTATCACCACCTCCACTAACACTATCACCACCTCCACTAACACTATCACCACCTCCACTAACACTATCACCACCTCCACTAACACTATCACCACCTGCACTAACACTATCACCACCTCCACTACCACTATCACCACCTCCACTAACACTATCACCACCTCCACTAACACTATCATTAAGACACTAACTTACCCGCTCCATCTCCACGAAGTCATCGTCCAGTTTAGTTCCTTCAACTCCGTCCACTAACATTATCACCACATCCACTAACACTAACACCACCTGCACTAACACTATCACCACCTCCACTAACACTATCACCACCTCCACTAACACTATCATTAAGACACTAACTTACCCGCTCCATCTCCACGAAGTCATCGTCCAGTTTAGTTCCTTCAACTCCGTCCACTAACATTATCACCACATCCACTAACACTATCACCACCTCCACTAAGACTATCACCACCTCCACTAACACTATCACCACCTCCACTAACACTATCACCACCTCCACTAACACTATCACCACCTCCACTAACACTATCACCACCTCCACTAACACTATCACCACCTCCACTAACACTATCATTAAGACACTAACTTACCCGCTCCATCTCCACGAAGTCATCGTCCAGTTTAGTTCCTTCAACTCCGCCAATCTTCTCGTTCATAAACTGAAACAATAACACATACAAAATCATTAGTATATTAATAACACAACTTTCTGCAAAACTCAAATGAAAATTACATTGTTTGTTATAAGTGAAGACATAATGCAGTTATAACAGCCTGATGACTCACAAATAATGTGTTATATAACTGTTAGTGATGACTGTGATGATGAACCCGGCGGCCCAGGTTCACCTCAACCACTGAGATGATGAACCCTGCGGCCCAGGTTCATCTTAACCACTGTGATGATGAACCCTGCGGCCCAGGTTCATCTTAACCACTGTGATGATGAACCCTGCGGCCCAGGTTCATCTTAACCACTGAGATGATGAACCCTGCGGCCCAGGTTCATCTTAACCACTGTGATGATGAACCCTGCGGCCCAGGTTCATCTTAACCACTGAGATGATGAACCCTGCGGTCCAGGTTCATCTTAACCACTATGATGATGAACCCTGCGGCCCAGGTTCATCTTAACCACTGAGATGATGAACCCTGCGGCCCAGGTTCATCTTAACCACTGAGATGATGAACCCTGCGGCCCAGGTTTATCTTAACCACTGTGATGATGAACCCTGCGGCCCAGGTTCATCTTAACCACTGTGATGATGAACCCTGCGGCCCAGGTTCATCTTAACCACTGAGATGATGAACCCTGCGGCCCAGGTTCATCTTAACCACTGAGATGATGAACCCTGCGGTCCAGGTTCATCTTAACCACTGTGATGATGAACCCTGCGGCCCAGGTTCATCTTAACCACTGGATGATGAACCCTGCGGTCCAGTTCATCTTAACCACTGAGATGATGAACCCTGCGGCCCAGGTTCATCTTAACCACTGAGATGATGAACCCTGCGGCCCAGGTTTCATCTTAACCACTGTGATGATGAACCCTGCGGCCCAGTTCATCTTAACCACTGAGATGATGAACCCTGCGGCCCAGGTTCATCTTAACCACTGAGATGATGAACCCTGCGGCCCAGGTTCATCTTAACCACTGTGATGATGAACCCTGCGGCCCAGGTTCATCTTAACCACTGTGATGATGAACCCTGCGGCCCAGGTTCATCTCAACCACTGAGATGATGAACCCTGCGGCCCAGGTTCATCTCAACCACTGAGATGATGAACCCTGCGGCCCAGGTTCACCTCAACCACTGAGATGATCGACCCAGCGGCCCAGGTTCACCTCAACCACTGAGATGATCGACCCGGCTTCACCTCAACCACTGAGATGATCGACCCAGCATCACCTCAACCACTGAGATGATCGACCCAGCGGCCCAGGTTCGCCTCAACCACTGAGATGATCGACCCAGCGCCAGTTCACCTCAACCACTGAGATGATCGACCCAGGCCCCGTTTACCTCAACCACTGAGATGATCGACCCAGCGGCCCAGGTTCACCTCAACCACTGAGATGATCGACCCAGCGGCCCAGGTTCACCTCAACCACTGAGATGATCGACCCAGCGGCCCAGGTTCACCTCAACCACTGAGATGATCGACCCAGCGGCCCAGGTTCACCTCAACCATTGAGATGATCGACCCAGCATCACCTCAACCACTGAGATGATCGACCCAGCGGCCCAGGTTCACCTCAACCACTGAGATGATAGACCCAGCATCACCTCAACCACTGAGATGATCGACCCAGCATCACCTCAACCACTGAGATGATCGACCCAGCGGCCCATTTTCACCTCAACCACTGAGATGATCGACCCAGCGGCCCAGGTTCACCTCAACCACTGAGATGATCGACCCAGCGGCCCAGTTTCACCTCAACCACTAGATGATCGACCCAGCGGCCCAGGTTCACCTCAACCACTGAGATGATCGACCCAGCGGCCCAGGTTCACCTCAACCACTGAGATGATCGACCCAGCGGCCCAGGTTCACCTCAACCACTGAGATGATCGACCCAGCGGCCCAGTTTCACCTCAACCACTGAGATGATCGACCCAGCGGCCCAGGTTCACCTCAACCACTGAGATGATCGACCCAGGTTCACCTCAACCACTGAGATGATCGACCCAGGCCCAGTTTCACCTCAACCACTGAGATGATCGACCCAGGCCCAGGTTCACCTCAACCACTGAGATGATCGACCCAGGTTCACCTCAACCACTGAGATGATCGACCCAGCATCACCTCAACCACTGAGATGATTGACCCAGTATCACCTCAACCACTGAGATGATCGACCCAGCGGCCCAGGTTCACCTCAACCACTGAGATGATCGACCCAGCGGCCCAGGTTCACCTCAACCACTGAGATGATCGACCCAGCGGCCCAGGCTCACCTCAACCACTGAGATGATCGACCCATCGGCCCAGGTTAACCTCAACCACTGAGAGGATCGATCCAGCGGCCCAGTTTCACCTCAACCACTGAGATGATCGACCCAGCGGCCCAGGTTCACCTCAACCACTGAGATGATCGACCCACGCCCAGGTTCACCTCAACCACTGAGATGATCGACCCAGCGGCCCAGGTTCACCTCAACCACTGAGATGATCGACCCAGCATCACCTCAACCACTTAGATGATCGACCCATCGGCCCAGGTTCACCTCAACCACTGAGATGATCGACCCAGCATCACCTCAACCACTGAGATGATCGACCCAGCGGCCCAGGTTCACATCAACCACTGAGATGATCGACCCAGCGGCCCAGGTTCACCTCAACCAATGAGATGATCGACCCAGCGGCCCAGGTTCACCTCAACCACTGAGATGATCGACCCAGCGGCCCAGGTTCACCTCAACCACTGAGATGATCGACCCAGTGGCCCAGGTTCACATCAACCACTGAGATGATCGACCCAGCGGCCCAGGTTCACCTCAACCACTGAGATGATCGACCCAGCGGCCCAGGTTCACATCAACCACTGAGATGATCGACCCAGCGGCCCAGGTTCACATCAACCACTGAGATGATCGACCCAGCGGCCCAGGTTCACCTCAACCACTGAGATGATCGACCCAGCAGCCCAGGTTCACCTCAACCACTGAGATGATCGACCCAGCGGCCCAGGTTGTAGTGGTTGTTGTGCCTTACCTGATGGTTGTAGTGGTTGTTGTAGTGGTTGTTGTAGTGGTTGTTGTAGTGGTTGTTGTAGTGGTTGCTGTAGTGGTTGTTGTGCCTTACCTGATGGTTACCTTTGATATTCCTTCGAAGAATTTCGAGAGTATATCTACTCTCTGAGCCCGGCCATGGGCCAGGCTCGTCTGGTGCTTGCCTGGTCAACCAGGCTGTTGCTGCTGGAGGCCCGCTGCCCCACATATCCATCACAGCCTGTTTGATCTGGCACCTGGTGAAGATACTTGTCTAGTTTCCTCTTGAAGGCTTCTACACTTGTTCCAGCAGTGTTTCTGATATCTTCTGGTAAGATGTTGAAAAGTCTGGGACCCCGGATGTTGATACAGTGTTCCCTTATTGTCCCCACCGCTCCCCTGCTCCTCACTGGGTTTATTTTACACTTCCTCCCATATTACTCACTCCAGTATGTTGTTATGGCAGTGTGCAGATTTGGGATCAAGCCCTCGAGTACCTTCCAGGTATATATTATCATGTACCTCTCTCTCCTCCGCTCCAATGAGTACATGTTCAAGACTTGCAGGCGTTCCTAGTAGTTTAGATGCTTTACTGGCTCAATGTGAGCCGTAAACGATCTCTGTATTTGTTCCAGCTCCGATATTTCTCCTGCCTTGAACGGGGCCGTCAGCACCGAGCAATATTCTGAGTGAGGGAGCACTAGCGATTTGAAGAATGTCACCATCGGCATTATTTCCCTTGTTTTGAAAGTTCTCAATACCCACCCCGTCATTATCCTGGCTGTCGTGATCTTTGTCTTGTTATGGTCTTTAAAAGAAAGGTCCGCTAACATAATTCCTAGGTCTTTTACGTGTTCCTTACGTTCTATTTGGAGACCCTCTTGAGTTTTGTATATAGTTCTCCTTTTGAGTTCTTCATTCTTCCCATACCTAAGCAGCTGGAACTTATCACCATTGAACGTCATGTTGTTCTCCACTGCCCACTGGAAAACCCTGTTTATGTCTTCCTGTACTTTTTCAGTGTCCTCTACCGTACTGACTTCCATGCTTATTTTAGTGTCATCTGCAAATGATGATACAAAAGTGTGCCGGGTGTTTTTGTCTATGTCTGCTATGAAGATGAGAAACAGAAGCGGTGCCAGGACAGTGCCCTGGGGCACTGAGCTTTTGACCTCGCTGATGCCTTACCTGATGGTTGTATATGTTGTTGTAGTGGTTGTGCCTTACCTGATGGTTGTAGTGGTTGTACCTTACCTGATGGTTGTAGTGGTTGTACCTTACCTGATAGTTGTAGTGGTTGTATCTCACCTGATGGTTGTAGTGGTTGTACCTTACCTGATGGTTGTAGTGGTTGTATCTCACCTGATGGTTGTAGTGGTTGTACCTTACCTGATGGTTGTAGTGGTTGTATCTCACCTGATGGTTGTAGTGGTTGTATATCACCTGATGGTTGTAGTGGTTGTATCTCACCTGATGGTTGTAGTGGTTGTACCTTACCTGATGGTTGTAGTGGTTGTACCTTACCTGATGGTTGTAGTGGTTGTACCTTACCTGATGGTTGTAGTGGTTGTATCTCACCTGATGGTTGTAGTGGTTGTATCTCACCTGATGGTTGTAGTGGTTGTATCTTACCTGATGGTTGTAGTGGTTGTATCTCACCTGATGGTTGTAGTGGTTGTATCTCACCTGATGGTTGTAGTGGTTGTACCTTACCTGATGGTTGTAGTGGTTGTACCTTACCTGATGGTTGTAGTGGTTGTATCTTACCTGATGGTTGTATCTTACCTGATGGTTGTAGTGGTTGTATCTCACCTGATGGTTGTATCTTACCTGATGGTTGTAGTGGTTGTATCTCACCTGATGGTTGTAGTGGTTTATCTCACCTGATGGTTGTAGTGGTTGTACCTCACCTGATGGTTGTAGTGGTTGTATCTCACCT